ACATAGGAAGGAGATGAACAGCTATGGTTGAATGGCAAGGAGTTTTAGCAGTTATGGCTAGATGAGAACGCGGCTCTGTATATCAGCAAAAGACTTGACATCTGTACCCCATAGCCTGTTCATTTGGATTCCGGTAAACCAGCTTCAGTGAATCTAATTATCTTTACGTATCGTTATTTACTGATTTTCGAGAATCTAATTATGTTTACATATCGCTATTTACTGATTCGAGAAACTAATTCTGATGAACCGGGCGTGTATATATAGCAGCAGAAAGCAGTAGCAATAGTGTTGAACTGAGTATACGCCTACTATTAGCATGATGATACTCACCAGCAGTCGATCCCAGCAGCATTAGCGCCTTCTTTATCAGCCTCTGGATCGTCTCCAACATGAACTGCCTTCACCTTCTCTACGCAGATCTGATCTACAAAAACGTAAGACTTTCAAAACTATCAATCCCGCATAGGTTCCTATCAATATGTCACTCGTAAATTTAAGCGAGCGTAAGAGTCAATGGACAAACTTCAAACACGTTATGGTTAAATGAGCTCGGTATGAAGAGCACTCAAGGACCTACCTAAAGCAGCTTCAAATATCTTCACGTCTGGTTTCTCGTATCCAACCTCTGCAGATACTATCACAGCATCAAACCTACAGAAATATAACAAAAATACTTACAAACTCAGAAACGGGGCGAGGGCGGGTTGTGTAGTTCTAAAACGAGATGCTTACAGATCTACCACATTGAGATCTTTCAATAGCTTCCGTAAACGGGTGTCAAAATTGGACACAACTGCCAGCTTGACTGTACCATATTTTCGAAGTTAAGGCGAGAAGCGATGGCAAGGAAAATATATCAAACTTCATGCCACTAGTAATACATAAAGAGAATCGAAACCTCCTGAGTCTTTCAGAATCGATAAAGTATCAGAGGCTCCGGCTGGGAGACGCCAAGCATCACCATTTGCATAGTGCTGATGAAATTGCGCCATAAGTATTAACTTCAGATAACGCATTCTATACCAGTCCACGACTGTAAAAAAAATTGTAAGGAATTATATACGTAAAAAGACTGGATGCGAGAGTCACCTGATAAACTTCTTCAAAGTAACTGTCATCATCGCAACCAGTTGCTTCAGAAACGATGAGCTTCCAAAACGGCCTTCCATCTCCCTACAAGAATTTCGCAGCTTAAAATGAAAGTCTTAGTTCACAAGTTGCAAAACTAACAGCAAAAGAGAACCTCGGAGAAACTGGGCACCTCGGTTCCCAACCCTTGAAAAAGATTGATTAATGCAAATCATTCAGAACAAACACGAAGGGAACATCATATATATGAGCTTAATGGACACGAGCAAACCTTATACCGTAGGTCCTCAGGCCATGGGGCAGAAAAAGCTCTTTTGAAGCCTTGCTTTATCTCAGCTGGCGTGGTGGTAAGACCTGTTATGGTTTTTTATAAAACAATTAGGAACCAAGGTAAGAAGCCCCTACTCACCAGTTATGTTCACATCACTCGGTTTCTTGAAAATAAACCATCTATAAAAGTACGTTAATGAATGACATGTCCTGGAAATCTGCAACAAAATGACTCCTTTAAAACACAACTCTTTGTCTACATACTCTAAATGCACTTGCAGATATTCAAGAACAACCTCAACATTTTGCGGGAGCTCAGTGTGATCAAAATAAGAGTGCACTTTAGCTCTATTTGGGACAACCCTTGTTAAGACTTGTTAATCACAAGGTTACAAGTTTAACTCCTAGAGGGAGTCAAACTTGGGCCTATTGGCCTTCTTGGTTTGAGCCAGTCAGCTATGGACAACTTAGGCTGATTTACCTCTTTGACAACTAGGGTCACAATGAAGGATATACCCAATGCACACCCTCGAGGCCTCGAGCAGTGGCTGCAGGTTTCTCTCGTCACTCAAAAAAGAAGTTCTATCCTATCTTTGCAAGGACCTTTACTTACAAAATGGCATAAAAACAATCAAAAATTAAAACTCAGAACACAATTTTTATGAGGAATCAAATAAAAGTGCACTTTAGCTCTATCCCGAGGCAACCCTAGCTAAGTTAGTCAGACTCTTTACAAGGTTACAAGTTCAATTTCCAGTGGGAGCGGTCCATTGACCTTCTTGGTTTGAGCTGGTCAGCTATGACCAACCTAGGTTAATTTATCTCCTTATGGTCATTTACCCGCTAAGGTCACAAGGCAAGATTTACCCAGTGCACACCCTCGACTAATGATTGCAGGTTTCCCTCGTCACTCAAAAAAGAAGTTCTATCCTATCTTTGCAGTTTGCAGGGACCTTTACTTGCAAAATGGCATAAAAAACAGTCAAAAATTAGAACTCAGAACACAATTAGTCAATTACTATAGGAGGAATCAAACCATATTTTTTGCCAATAGCAGCATAAGTCTCTTCAACTGGATTCCCCAATTGCAAAAGTGTACCAGCAGCATCCAACAACACTCCATCATATGCTCTCTTCACCATCTTTCTTCCTCCTGCCAACAAAGAAACAACAAAAAAGACTCTTTTTAATCAATCAAAGAAAAAATAAAAAATAAAAAACACTGTAATTGAGCTAAACCCATGCTTTTCCATAGAGAATTTAACTTAATCAAGACCAAAATCCAACAAATTGGGGAGGGTAATCAGGGTCGATCAAGAAAAGGGCACAAAAAAGAGTGTTGCTTTAAGCCGGAAATAGGGTCGCCGGCGGTGTGACTGTGTCAGTAACCGGAAACTGCCGGCCCCAAGGCCGCAAAAACAAATGTGTGATGTAGCACTCACCGGTGTGAATGTTGGTAGCTGGGGAAGAAGAATAGCATCGAACGCAAATAGATTCAGTGAGTTTGGGGTTGAGTTTGAAGGGTTTGAGAGCTCTGAGAAGAGGAATAGCTTCCATAGTACTGTTGCGTTTTTCTGGTGAAAACAACTATGTTGAAGACAGGGTTTAAGCTCCAGCCGTCCTGAATTGGTTCGACATCAAAAATCGATTTGAGATAGGTGTGGATTTGTACGATGTTAACGATTTTTTTTTTTTTCTTTCTTTTCAATTTGTTGTTTAGCATGTGGACGTGTATTCATTTTTATGATTTGAAAACTTGTACTTAATTTGGACTATGAATACCAACACAATGAATAATTTAGACACTTTTAATATTTGTCCGTCAACTAATATGTAGTGTGATGATATTTCTATTACCATTCTAAATTAGTGGTCATAGAATCGAACTCCTGTGGCAGAAACATTCAATGGGATAAGGGATATGGGTAAGGCTTGAAACTAGAAGGTAGAATGCAGGAAATTTTTTGGACAAAATGGATCTACTATGATCTCTTACATTTTTAGAGAAGGAAACTAGTGCGCCGACTTCCTTGACAACTGGGGACAAAAGCGTGCGTGGTGTACTACAATAATGGACCAGCCTCCGACTGAGATGGAGGCCTTGCTTGGATGTGATGCGACAACTCGGCAAGTGTTCCAACTCCCAACAAGAAGAATTAGATATGCGCGCGCGTGCGCACACACATTAATTCCAAATGTCATAATTGACTAAGCATTAAATGAAAATTGAAAAGTACCCTTAATCATGTATAGAGTTAAGCAATCAGTATACCCTGCACCGTGGTGCACATAGCACTGTGCGTCTGCGCCTTCCAAAACGACGTCGTTTTGATAAGTTGTGTGGGAAGTCGACGCGACACAGTGTATGTATATTATGTTATATAATTATGTACATTATGTTATACAATTATGTACATTCTGGTATACAATTATGTACATTTTTTATACAATTATTATATACATTTTTGAACACGCAATTTTTTTTTTACAGTTAAAAATTTATGTACATTCTCATATACAATTATGTACATTTTAGTATACAATTATATACATTTTCAAAACATGAATTTTTTAACAAATTAACAACAAACATGAAAAAGCGGAATTTAAAAAAAAAAGTGCAAAAACGACGTCGTTTTGCACCAGGGCGCACATTGAAATGCGAGCCTTGGTGCACGATATAAATTGCCAGAGTTAAGGGATTTGCGAATAGTTATGCTGTACAGATGCAAAAACGACGTCGTTTTATTAAAAACGCGCGTCTCCCCTTTAAAAAAAAAAATCAGGTTCGATTCCTAGTAAGAACATTATTTTATCGATTATGGAACTATAGTTCATCGATTCTGGAATTATAGTTCATCGATTCTGAAATTTTAGTTCATAGATTCTGGAATTTTAGTTCATTCATTCTGAAAATTTTAGTTCATAGATTAGATTATGGAATTATAGTTCATCAATTATGGAATTATAGTTCATCGATTATGGAATTATAGTTTCGAACCTTTTTTTTTTTTTAAGGGGAGACGCGCGTTTTATAAAAACGACGTCGTTTTTGCATCCGTATGCACCATGCTTGATGCATACGGATGCACAGCATAATTTGCCGGGATTTGCTTTGAAACTAAACAATATCATGTCAAACCAGTCTAGAACCGTCAAAACGGACTTAGTTCGTCTCACCTCGCCAAATGACCTATAGTTTTGGCCATTTTTTAGCCCGTCCCGCCAATATGTGTACATTAACAATATTTAGTGTATATATATACACACTCGAACCACTCCATATATATATTATTTGTAATAATAGTTGTAATAAAATAATCATTGTTGTAGAAACATGTGACTTAAATCATTGTATTATTAAAATCAAATCTAAGTACTCCGTATATATTTAAAATAACATAATGTTTGTACCAAAAAGTCAATTATGGGGATCACATTTTCAATTAAATTTGTTCAACATAATTTTTTAATGTGATTTATCTCTTAAATATAGTTTGTAAATTATTATATATGAACAAGATTTACTCAATACATGTCGTCATATAATGAGTGCGGTTTTTCTATTATAAAAATAGAAATAGGTGCAACAATAACAAAATAAAATAATAAGAATGATAATATAAAGAAGTTGGAACAGGTTGGGGTGTGACAGACTCCATAGCCATTGGATTAGCAAGCAAAGTTGAAGTCGAACTCGGACCGTCGGACGGCCATGAACGAGGTCAAATCCAAGACGCGTAATCCTCGTTGATTACCCAACCCCCGAAATCCCAATCCCATTCCACCTCCCACCTCACCCATCGCCACTGTTCTCCCGCTGTAACCCCGCCACTCCCACCGCGCCGCCCCTCCATTCCCGCCGCCTCCATCAACGCAAAACATTCGATTTCTCCCGGGCCACTGGGCCTTTCCGTTGCTCCCCTTTCCAATCCCCCAATTTTCTTTTTCCGCGTAGATTCGTGTTGCTGGCCGCGTTCGTGTGCGATGAATTGCTCCGTGGAGATGAAGGAGACGAAGGAGATGAAGGGAGGGTTCGTGTCCGATGAATTGCTGGGCACGTTTGTGCCGATAGCTGTGTATTGGCTCTATTCCGGCCTCTATTCGATGCTGGGAGGGTTGGAGAATTACAGGCTGCATTCTAGGAAAGATGAAGATGAGAAGAATTTGGTCTCCAGATCGGATGTCGTCAAAGGTGTAGTTCTCCAGCAGGCCGTGCAGGCTGTCGTTGCCACCATCCTCTTTGCGGTAAGTTTTGCAGTAGTGCCCTATCACCATTGTTATGACTTTTTAGCTTATTTGAGCTTATTGTTTATTGTTCATAATCTGTGTAATTGAAATCCTTAATCATATCCTTGCCCAATTGGACCATTATGTTAAAATCTGTATGTTGATTTGGTGTATGGGGAGAGGAAGAGCCCAAGATTCCATTTTTGGAACTTGGCACTCGTCGTCCACGCTTCATCGTGATTTACCCATATCTTGTTGACGAGGGAATTTTGCCTTTTGTGGGTAAGAATCAAGCTATGGGACTTTGGGTGGGGTAGCAATAACTAGGGCAAATTTTACATTGTCTATATAGCAGTGTAGATCATGAAGTATGTATTATTTTAATTACACTTCAATTTCATTTGACAATATTGTTATGCTTTTTAGTTTCATTTTCACTCCAAACTAGTTTCATTATAATTCTACTATAGTTTCATGTGATAATATACATTAGTGCTTGAGCTCTATCTTTTGTTTCATTTTCTATACACTCTAGTTTAATTATAGTAATGTTGAAGTATTGTTTAATTGCATTTCAAGTTATTTGACAATGTATGTTATGGCTTTGGATTTTAGTTTCATCTTTCACGCACACTAGTTTCATTATATCAATACTAAAGTATCATTTAATAATTATACTACAGTTTCATTTGACAATAATATGCTCTGTTTTTTAGTTTCATTTTTCACACACTAGTTTCATTATAATAACACTTCAAGTTATTTGACAATATATGTTATTGTATGGCTTTGGATTTTAGTTTCATTTTTTACGCACACTAGTTTCATTATATCAATACTAAAGTATCATTTGATAATTATTATACTACAGTTTCATTTGACAATAATATGCTCTGTTTTTTAGTTTCATTTTTCACACACACAAGTTTCATTATAATAACACTAAAGTATCATTTTAATTTTACATTTTTACTACAGTTTCATTCGACGATCATGGTCCACTGTATAACAATTGAATAACTAGGGATGTAGATCTTTATCTGATAAAGACCCGAAATTTTTAGGGTTAGGGCTGAAAAATTTTAGATCGATAAGGTTCTAGCCTGCCAACTTAAGACTATTCTTTGTTTCACAAGTGATGTGGAACAAAATAAACAGGCTGTAGTATTTTTTTAGGGAAAAGGGTCAAATAAGCCCTCGAACTTTATCTAAGAAGTCAATTAGGCTCCTAAACTTTTTAAAGTAGCAATTAAACCCATCAACATCGTATTTTGGTGCAATATAGTCCAAAAACCGGTTAGTGACCTGTTATCACAGGTCACTAAGGTTCCGGTCAACATTCCAACCAACTTTGGCAATATTTCTGGCAATAAAATGACCTCAGTTGCTGTTGCTGAGGCACATACTGCCTTGTGTACTTCTATGGACAGAGCTGATCAGCTGAACGAGCTCGGGAAGGGCGCCAGAACAATGTTCAAGGATTATGCTAGCGGTTTTAGCGTGACCTTAACTAACTCCAATTGCCTAATTTTTGTGAACGGCACTCTGGTCTCATTCCCGGATATGTATTACAGTGATACGGTCATGATTCATGGCATCCATGAAATTATTCCTTTGTTGGATGATACTGAAAGCGGACGAGCAGAGTCTGTGAGCAGTAAAATTTAGGAATTTATGCCACCAGATCGTAGTGAATTCTGAGTTTTGATGGAGAAATTGCATATCCGTTTAGGATAATTTCTTGGATTGTATATGTTGTGTCCGTTGAAATTGTAGATTCTGATAATTTCAATTGGGTTCCACGAAACTGAAATAACTTGTTTTTTTTTTTTTTTGTTTGAAACAAACTAGGATATTTCTTAAATTTCAATTCGGGTCCACGGTCGCCGGTCACTTTATTGCTGGCAATATTGCCGGAGTTGACCGGAACCCTAGTCACTTGTGATAGCAGGTCACTAACCGGTTTTTGGACTTCATTGCACCAAAATGCAATGTTGATGGGCTTAATTGCTACTTTAAAAAGTTTAGGGGCATAATTGACTTCTTAGGTAAAGTTTGAGGGCTTATTTGACCATTTTCCCAATTTTTTTATTATTAAAGTTTTGAATAAAATTTTAAAAATATTAGTGTAAATATATTAATTATTTGTGGTTCGAATGATGTATAAGTTTATATTTATTAGTGCAAATGCACTAGTTTGTTAAAATTTAAAGTTTTGAGTGTTGATTTGAAAATGGCAAAAATTTTAGTCGAGTCTATTAAACCTGACCAAAAAACCAATAAGCCTTAACTGATACTGACAGCCTGATAAGGATAGCTTGAAACTGAATGGGCTAGCCCAATTGATATCTATAGTAATAAGATAGTTACTACTTATGATTTTTTTTTTTAGTCATTAATGCTTTCTGAGTTTTCTGGTATTCATTCAAGTAAAAATTAGGCTGTGTTCATGAATTCATAGTTTCCCTTGGAGATATAATCTTTAGACTAATGAGATGATGCCTTTAACCTTTCCTAGTTGGTTTGATGTTTCCCTTGAAATGAGAGCGTGAAAGGAAAGGCAGATAAGGGATAGGTGCGTGATAGATATTTTCTTTCTCTCCAATTTCCCCCGATGTTGTTAGTTTGCAGTTCTTCTGGATGATGTAAACTTTGCCAACTTAATTGGGGTTCAGCCTTGTACTAAACATGCCTGAACCCAAATGCAGTTCAACATTTTCATGAATCGAGACTAGACTATCGAGTATGAAGAGAGTGGCCTAATGAATGGATACAAACTTTATGATTAAATCACTTTGGTTGTATATGGAGAACATGGAAGATAGGATTTTGTTTAGAAATCTGAAAAAGAAGTTGGGTTAATCAATCATGTGTCTGTATTAGGTGATATACGATGAGCTTATTTCCACTGATAGTGTTATTTCTGAAGAATACGCCTTTCTTCATTTTCATTTCGTGCACTCGGGAATATTTTGGTTGTTGGCTTTTTGCTAAGACTTCCGCTAACATCTTTGCACTGCACTTCCAACTTTTATGCCTACTAAGTTGCCTGGTCCGTTTGTCATGACAATAAGTTTTTAGCCGAGAGAATCATCTGTACCTAACTCCCATTGGGGCTCTTAGTCATAATTTGGCCCTTGCATGACCGTATTTGAATGTTTTTTACAATATATTATACAGCTTTGGGTTCAGACTGGTGCAAACATCACTATTCACGCGATCTAAGGAGTGGTGATTCGAATTTGGTCGAACGACTTGAACCTCTACTGTAGATAAAATTTCATTAAGATGCTATGATTTTTGTTTCTAGTCGTGCATTCTGTATCTAACAATGCATTGAGCATATATTTTTCTGTATCCTTTAAGTAGGATAATGTTCGTCATTACAAATAGTTCTGCTATATTTGCTTAACTGTATGGTCTCTCTGTCTAGTTGAGAATAGTTTTGATAATTTTGTTCTTATTTGGAGTGGCAATTCGAAATCGAGTCATAACAAACATTTGTTCGTGGAGCAGGTAACTGGAAACGATGGAGTGGTTGCTGAAGATGGGCAAGGATCCTTTCTCGTTCTTGCACAGCAATTTGCTATCGCGATGGCGGTGTTAGACACTTGGCAGTATTTTATGCACAGATACATGCATCAAAACAAGTTTCTGTACAAGCACATCCACGCTCAGCATCACCGCCTTGTTGTCCCATACGCGTTTGGAGCTCTGTACAACCACCCCGTCGAGGGTCTGATTCTCGACACCATAGGCGGGGCTTTGGCTTTTCTCGCCTCGGGCATGTCTCCCCAGACCTCCATCTTCTTCTTCTCGTTTGCTACCATCAAAACCGTCGATGATCATTGCGGACTATGGTTGCCCGGGAACCTCTTCCACATCTTGTTCAAGAATAACTCCGCGTACCACGACATTCACCACCAGCTTTACGGAACCAAGTACAACTTTTCGCAACCGTTCTTCGTGACATGGGATAAGATACTTGGGACTTACATGCCATACAAAGTAGAGCCCAGAGCAGATGGGGGGTTTGAAGCTAAGCCTGATAAAGAGTGCAAGGACAATTGAGTTGGTTATGATGTTTTGTTGGAGATTTTGCCCTTTTTCCCTCAATGTTTGATGACATATGTAATTGTACATATCTATATGTCTGCATATGTTGTTGTAAGAATTAGTTGCTTTAGCATACATGTCAGCCTTTGAGGTTAATAAAGGAATTTAGTTTGATTCTTTACTTACCTCCTCTCATGTTTCTTTATCTTTGATAATAACCCCAAGCCCAGCCAAGTTGATCAGGCTCTAAGTTCGACTTTCTATACAAATTGTTAACTGATCTTCTTAGTTTGAGCCGATCAGTTCTCATTGTGACCCTTCAGTGACTAAATTCACAAGGCAGGCTTCACCAAGAGTCTTTTTTATTTGAACTGGTCAGTTATGGACAATTTAAGTCGATTTACCTTGTGATCTTTGTCGATTAGAGTTTCTTGATTTGATTTGCTCAACTATGAACAGCCTAAACTTCTTTTCTTTGTGATCTTTAACCAGTTAAGGTTACAAGGTGAGCTCCACTCAGAGTGTGTGCTTTTGAATAGTGACTACAAACTTTCCCGTATATTAAAGTTGGCTAAACGCGACTTTTTGTACCAAATTGAAAAATGTGTCCCGTCTAGCGAAAGTGTGAAACAACACTGTTTTCGAGACGTAGTGCACAGATCTAAAGCATAATGTTACAGGGCTCCATGTATGTATAGTTTGTGGAGCAATAAACAACATGTTCATGGTACAGACACCCAAATGCAAACCAAACCCTAATGCTCCAACAATTTCTTGTGGCAAAAATGCTTCTTCAAGTGGTGAAAGCTTTCCATTCATGCTCGTAATCTACACCATCGCACCGGTCATTCCTCGCCTCTCCCTCGGGTACTCCTCATTGCGCGGATGTGGAGTTCGTGTCGTTCAAAGTCCAATACTTTTTCACCGCGACTAGTATTTTCTCGGGCACGAGGGGACCGTCTTCATGGTCCATCAGTTTGTAGTCCCATCTCATACCTCCTATGATCCTCCTCACCTTGATCAGCGTGTCGACTTCGTCTCTGAAAACGACCGCGCCTTCCGGGCGTAAAATCCTGTCCATTTCCAAAAGAATGTCCTCGAAATCACACCTGCACGATACAATTACAGTAAACACAACTTAAAGAATGTCGCCAATTTCTGGCTCGAACAATAGCTTAAAGAACGAAGAGTAGCGTTTACATACTTGTCCTTGTACAAGCTAAAGACACCATTAGCGTGAATGAGATCATAAGTCCTCGGGTACGTGGAGAAGCCTTCACACCTATATCATAAGAAAACTATGAGCGAAGATACCGTTTATACTTCTAAATAAAGCCCATTAACACGAGAGAGAGAATTAAAGCATGTGCTCCATCTCAGCTAAAAGCCTAAGCTAATAGTTGGATTGCACATTTATGTTTATATATATATTATACGCTCAACAAAGAGAACTATACCAGTCATGGTAGATACCGATCATTCCTCGTTCATATATAACACCCAAAGTACTTTTATCAGCAATTGTAGGAACGACATTCATAACCCACTGTTTAGGAGACGTAAGCTGCGCAGCAAAACCTCCCAATCCCGCATTCATATCCATAATGTTGCGATACCTTCCCGTGTCGATAATCTTATTGATTCTTTTGTAAGCACTAACGTGCTTCTTCCACTTCTTGTTGTCGTCGAGATATGCCTCAGCTGAGACTCCCGAAACCAACCCGTTAGCAATTCTTGGGGGAATAGCGGTAAGTCTTTCCGGGAATTTCTTGAGAGACTCGTCAATGTTTGCTTTGGGAGATGGAGTTATGCATACGTCCATTTTCTTATACCTGATTAAAGGTGGGATGGATATATATTGTTGAGATTAACGAGAACAAGAATCAATAATAATGGCAGAAAGTAAAGAACACAAGATTTACGTGGTTCGGCAATGTGCCTACAGTACATATGAGACATACACAATAGATATAATTAAAAATACCATACCAGACGTCGTCTGGATCACCAGATTGACAAAAAGTAGCTTTGGACTTCTTTTGTGAAGCTCGACACGAATCAACATCCATCCTCTTCTGCCAAATCGCAATTTCGCCCTTCTCGGACTTCTTCTCCCAACACAGAAGTTTAGCGATCTCTTCGATTTTCCTTTGTTCTTCTTGAAGTTCTTCCTTTGGACGTTGCCAGGCTTTGTAGTTAGTCTTCCAATGGATAGGCGGGCCGGAAAGCACCCAGTAGCCTCCCGGTCTAAGAACTCGATCGACTTCCATCATAAGAATTCCATCTGAAAGGGTATCAAGTAACATGAAATGCATATAAAGTTCGGGTTTTTCTTTAGTGTGCATGATCTATTTGGGCGTGAAATTTTACCTCCAGCACCCCACGGGATTAGACAACGAGAACAGTGAGCCATATCGAATGCTCGAGATGGATATGGCAATTTGATGGTCCCGAGTACACCAATAACAGCGGGCACGCCCCTTTCAAGGGCAAACTGGACCTGAGCTTCATGTGAATCTCTCGGGGCGAAGGACATGGCTATAACATTCCTCTTCCAAAGATACGCACCCCAACTCGCAACCTATAAACGATGACAAGCATGGTCAAAAATGTCCAGAAAAATGAGTCGAATTTAGGGATTTTTGTGCAGGAAACATACCCCACAACCGGTATCCAACGCAGTACGAACGGTCCCGTCTTTAATCGGGATCACCGAAGCAAGCTGATCAATGTATTTATCCGCTCCTTGAGGAAACTGCGTTCCCCCTCCCGGGAACCTAAAAACATTCCCTTCATACTGAACCCAGTTCTGAATCGCCTTCTCGACCGTCAAGCTCTTGTAAGGTGCGTTGGCGTAAGGAACATAATCCCGACTCTTTGGCCACGGGAACGGGGTTACATATCCTTTTGGCGCCGGGATAAGGCAATGCAACTTCTTTTCTCGAGGAGGGCAGTGCCTTTCTCGGTAGATCATATTTTGCCTCGAAAAGGTCATAGCACGCCTTTGATCTTGGCATGGAGTGTAGTCGGTGTAGCGAGGATGGCAAGGCTTAATCTCTTTCACTTTCGACTCCGACTCATCAATACTCCCAGCTCGACCGCTATGATGTGTCTCGAAATTTAGACTCGGCAAGATGTTGCAATCTTTACTCGTCTTTGTCACCTCCAATGCTATGCTGTCTCCCTTCCCGAACCCACTCCTTTGCCACGCTCCCAGTAAATAGAAGAAACAACAGAGACCCGCTACTATAAAAATCGACACCGAGCTCCTAGTCCTACTATCCCCCGAGGTTACTTTGTTCGCCATAGAATCCCTGAAAAGATTCCCACTTGTCCACTCGTTATCTCGGTAATGTATAATCTATCCACACAATTCCCAAACCGAGAATAATTTGGTCCACAATAGAGTCATAAACATGAAAATACTATTACACACATAAACCAATATATATATATATATATACGCTGCAAAAAGCGGGAAAATTTGGGCATAACTCGACAACAATTACATTCATACAATCGAAGTGACAAACAACAAATGCTGATAAGAGGAAGCAAGAAACCGCCACAATCTCAATTCTTGGATTTATTTAGAAACATACCCCAAAAAAAAAAAAGAGACATCTTTTCATGATTCCTATCAATAAAATAAGCTTTCAAACAAGATTAGTTGGCAATTAACATAATAAAACACACAAAAGCTGCAACATACCATATTAAACCAGACAAGGAGTCAATTCCTAAATCCTAGATTACTAAACCAAGAACAACACACAAATCATACAACTATACAAGAAATCAAGAATCCTACCTTATAATACCCAAAAAAGACAGCAAAATTCAGAGATTATTGCAAATATCTTCACAAATGACAATAAACTTCCTAATCCCAGAAACAAAAAGCTCAAACTTTCAATCACAGATCAGCTGAGGAGGACAGAGCTTCATATCAATGGCATCCACTGAATCAGAAACCACCACTCCGACCACCTTAAGCTCTGCTAAATGGGGAAGAATCTTGAAACAGTAATCCCTAAAACCCAAAAACCTGAAAACCCTAACACTGATATCTCAGTATCTCACTATATCTATGAGAGTAGCAGAAAAAATTGGTCTCAAGACTCAAGCATATACTAATACTATCTTCCTAAAACGTGCGAAGAAAGTGAAACCTGGGATCCTTTAAGTTCGATGTACGAGGTTTCCAGTCTGGGAACTCTTGACTTGGTAGTAAACTGTCGGTAGAACTCTGTCTCAGAGATCAAGATTCAAGAACCGTAGAAAAGTAAAATCTTTGATCCATTTTTCTCTTTTGGGTTTTCGTCTTTCCTTATTATATAGCTCCCACAGAATGAGTAAAGACATAATGATTTTTTACCTCTTTCGCTTTTATTTTTTTTACTGTCTTTACATCTACACAACGTTAACACTATCGAACTCCTTATCAGGTTGTTCTAACAGATTCATATACGGCTAAAGAATCAAACTTTTCAACAAATTACACCTAAAATGATATAATAATTTATGAAGTATGCTCTCATGTACGGAGTATCAAAATGGGATAAGTTTTTAAGTTTTTAGGACAAGGGAATTATTCTGAATTTTTTAATAATAAAGAAAAGAAAAATCAAGTTACACAAAAAGTAGTTACTATTGTGAAATTTGCAACTAATATTAACATGCGTTGGTTGGAAAGAGAAAATTAAGAGGAAAAAAGAATTGTAATCGTATAAAAAGAATAAAGTGAGAATTTAAATTACATTATTTGATAAAAAGAAATTAAAAAATTAGATATTTAGAAGAAAAAAATAATAATATAATTGAATTATAGTTTGACAAAATGTAAAATTGTAATTCTAGAAAGACCTTCGGAATTGTAATTTTATAATTAAAAACAAATTATAATTGTATGGAATTATCCAAATTATAAAATTATAATTTTATGAAGTTTGGTAGAAATGAAATTATAATTTCATCCTAACACATATCGATAAAAATGCTTGTTGTCCATAACTTCACGTGTCCCTACTCCCTAATCGGTTTACACATTAATTGACCTTTGTGGACACAAGTACATAACACATTTGCTTTCAAAAAAAAAAAAAAAACAAAAAAAACAAAAAGTACATAATATGCCATAAATACAATAAGTTCGTGATTTGAATCGATTAATTGTGAATAATTTAAGTCGATTTATTTTTTTGTGGTATTGGATAGAATCACAATATGATATTTACCCAACGTACACCCTCAAATAATAACGGTAGATTTCGCTCATCACCTAAAAAACACAACATTTTTTACATTCAATTAATTAGAGTAAATACTTAAAATGGTCCCTCGACTATAGCTAAATTCACAAATTGATCCTCGACTTTCAATTTCAACCAATTAAGTCTTAACTTTGCATTTAACAAGATTTGGTCCTCCATCTATTTGACCATTTGTTGATCGCGATCTTTGAGGATATATATGTAGTTTCACGTGCAAAGCTCAAGAGAATGCTCTTGGAGGTGACATCGTTGTTTCGGAGGGGAAGTGCTTCTCCGCTTGCTGCTTGGGGATCACGAGCCAGTTCAGCTTAGAGAACACTCTTGGAGGTGACAGCGCCGTTTCGGAGGGGGGAAGTGCTTCTCCGCTTGCTGCTTTGGGATCTCGAGCCGGTTCAGCTTGCCTACATCGCTTGGAGTCACGGCTTTCTCGAAGAGTCATTCCAGGGACTTCGACGATCTATTTATCAAAAGCTATAATCTCTCCGGCATGGGGTGCAGCGCCGGCCGTGGATTCAAATGTAACAGTGCTGTCTAGAAATGCAACCGGAACCTTAAAAAACCGACGATGGACCATGAAATTATATATATATATATATATATATATATATATATATATATATATATCCTAAAAAAGCGCAGTCAACAAACGGTCAAATAGACAAATGACCAAATTGTGTTAAAATTACAAAGTTAAGGACTTAATTGGTTGAAATTAAAAGTCGAGAACCAATTTGTGAATTTAGCTATAGTCGAGGGACCATTTTGAGTATTTACTCAATTAATTATGAACTAAATTTAAACTCGATGTAGTTATAAATGTAAAATTCCTCAACCGAATCCATAATAGTCTCATAGAGTTGAGATACCAGATGTTGATCGCGTTTGGTTAATGACATACCCACCAAAATTTTGACATATCCATCAACTTTGACCTTTTGATCATAGTCAAAACACCAAAGCAACCATTTGGTAAACTAACGATTTGCTCCAAACTGTTGGAATCTCAAAACCCTTAAACAACATTTGGGATTGACGTTTTGAAAAAAGAGCGATCTTTCCCCAAAACACCCTTATTTATGTTTATAAAGAAATTGTAAGGTTGCTTTAATGAAGAGCCTTAAAGGCTAAAACTAATGGAGAATAAGAGCCTCAAAGCATTGATCTCCATTTTTTCCACCAATGTGAAAAAAGTTGAAAAACAAAGGGAGCTGCACCCGACTCCTCTTATTATTATTACTAGTATTTCTTATGCGCGATGTGCAAAAAATATGTGCCCAATATTAATATTTTATATTAAAAATTTAAATTTATTTAAATTTTAGATATTTAAATTATTGTTAATAATAATAATAATAATAATAATAATAATAATAATGATAATAATAATAATAATAATATACACATTATATATTGGAGTTATATGTTTGTTATTTCTTAAAATATAAATATTAAATTTATATAAATGTTTTACATTATTATTATTATTATTATTATTATTATTATTATTATTATTATTATTATTATTGAAAATAAGAAAATATATGGTGGATGCATGTGCATGGTAGCAATAGTGGAAAAGATAACAGAAGTTATAACGGTAGGGGTATGTTTGTCCAAAATATTATATAGTACAACATTTATAGCATAATGTATCATAAAACTTAACGGAAAAAACGGACATAAATAAATGATATAACATTCATCCACACTTATTATGTTTTTATTTTAGATTAGATTTAGATAATAAAATTTTTAGCATTATTATCGTCATTATTATTATTATTATTATTATTATTATTATTATTATTATTATTATTATAACTTTAGATCGGTTTAATATTGTTGAGCATATAGCCATTAATGTGTAATATAATTATCAGCTTAGGTTTTTAGTTGAGATGATATAACTTTAGATCAGTTTAATATTGTTGAGCATATAGTCATTAATATGTAATATAATTATCAGTTTAGGCTTTTAGTTGAGATGAAACAGATACTTCAATTAATATTGACCGTTAACTTAAACAATTAATTTTATCAAGGGAAAATGACACTTTTTTCCCAGAGTTATATACTTATAGCACTTCCCCCCTCAATTATTCAAGTGGCTGTTTTTCCCCCTAAAATGTTAAATGAACATATTTACCCTTAAAATAAATATTTTATTTATTTTTCTTCTCCAACAAATTATGACCATAATTTGGTTCAAACCTAATAAACACTATAGGAACCAAACCGAAATATTCCAATTACAATTTAGAATCGAAACTCGATATTTAGAGTTTATTAAAATCGCGGAATGGACGGTTCATGTTTCGAACTGAAAAAATAAAATACATTTATTGTTGAATTTAGACTATTTTAAAATAAAAATAATATTTTAAAATATAAACGGTTTAAAATCGCGAATCGAGTCCGGAACCGCTGGTTCACGGTTCAGGATCCAATTTTTTTGATTCATATTTTTAATAAATTGAAATCCAAATATTGGGTTCTAGATCTGAATCATAACCGGAAACTTTTAATTCAATTGCTATAGTATCCGATTCAGTTCGAACCGAATCGTGGTCATCCCTACGTATACGCAATAATTTGTTGGAGAAGTAAAATAAATAAAATGTTTATTTTAAGAGTATAAATGTCAATTTAATATATTAGGGGAAAAAATCACCACTTTTAAAATAATTGAAGGGGCTAATGTGCTTACCAAAATAATTGAGGGGGGAAAAGTGCTATAAGTATATAACTTAGGGGGAAAAAATGTCATTTTCCCTTTTATCAAATATATCTTTTTACAAATAACTGATACGATATGTGAGTCAAATCAGTTATTTGCTAATCGCTAATACACTTTGTTAACCGCTAATTGCTAATTGTCAAACAAGGCCACCGTGTACTCGGTATTTGTGTGGAAAAAAATTAGTATGACTGATGAAGGGTAAAAGAGACATTGCAAATTAATTGCTAACATTAACATATCCCCCATATTTTTCTGCTTATCTTCTCTTTTGACCCCAAGATAGGCTTTTGCCTTATCTTCTTCAACCTCAACGGTTCACCGGAAAATTCCAACAATGGCTGCAATACTCATATCCGGGTATCTTGCTAAGCCCTCCTCTCTCCTTCTCCCATTCTCCCCAAAGCTTTATCTTTCTAAACGCCTGTCTCAAAAGCCGCATTGGGTCTCTCTTCGCCGGTCCACCCAAGCCTTGAACCGCCGCTTCTCCAAAGCTTATTGTCTTTACACTTCCGGCAACCAACCGGATAACAAGGTGAGAATAATTTTTCCACCTTTTTTATTCTGTGAAAAGTTCGAATTTTTCTGGCTACCCAAGATTGGTTTCTTTGCAGGGAAGTGGACCTAAGTGGCCAATCTTGAGACGGTGGGATGTGCCATGGAATTGGCAAACTATTTCACTTTCTTCACTTGCCTGTGGACTAAGGTGTATATTTAACCCCTGATTGAATCTTTAATTCTAACTTAATTAACAAAAAGTTTATCTTTTTAAGTCCACTTTTAGTTGTTCTTTACTCTTATTAGTGGGATTTGTTGTGCCATTCACTTTTGGGAAAGACTAATTGATTCTCAGTCAGTTTTGTTCTGACAGGGCTAATAGAAACAGCAGCCATATCATATTTGGGAATTGAAGTTGACAACTTAAGCTTGGATGAGAAATCAGAAATTTTGTTTCTGGACCAATCGTATGACCCGTTGTTTCAGTCTATGTTTTTCGTTTGTTGTCAATTTAGTTAAGGTTTTTGGTTCTATCTCGAATTCTCGATCCTTATTTATCTATGCAGTATTACAACTATTGTTGTGCTTGGAGTTCTCTATACTCTCACCAAGTCGTCTCAGCCACTTCCTAATGAAATATATCGATATGGTAATTGCTTTATCAAACGTTTAACTAAATCATAGTTATGGTGTGGGGGTTTTACTCCCAATGGTCGAGATTATTTCACTAGTTTGAGTACTTGCTATTAGTGTTTCAGATTGGAGGGAGCCTTTCGATTTTCGAAGAGGGTGGCTGTTGTGGGCAACGATTGGTCTCGTTGGAGCGTTGTTTGCTATTGCGTTGACGGGGGTTGCAACGTCTTTTCTCAATAGCGAGCCCCCACAGAGAGAGGTTATAAGTCGGTCCACTATACTATTAAATGGAATGAAAAAGTAATTAGGGAAACTTATTGCCCCGGGAAAGGGCATATGTGACTTATTGTTGGCACTTGTTTCAGACTGATGCTCTTGTTCGCTTGCTTCCGTTGATCGGCTCTTCAACTATCAGGTATTCAAAGGGTATCCCGAGTTTTATGTGCTATGTTTTTGGTAAGACAATACGGTTTTATGAAGTGACAATTGTTGTTTTTAATGTAGCACTGCAAGTCTGTTGGGCATTACGGGCGTCCTTGCTCCGATTCTTGAGGAGACTGTGTTTCGAGGGTTCTTTATGGTCGCCCTGACTAAGTGGTATTCTTCGGTCTTTATATTCTAATAATTACTCCTCCCGTCCCATTTTATGTGTCTGGTTCAGTTAACGAGACTTGTCTGAAGTGGGACCCACACCGCTCTTTTTGTTTGCCCCTCTTTGCAGGCTGCCTACGCCACTGTCAATCCTTCTCAGCGCCTCTGTATTTGCTGGTGCACATCTAACTCCCGGAGAATTTCCTCAGCTTTTTGTGCTCGGTATTTGTTTTAGCATCTGGCTGTTCCTAACAATTTAACGATTTTGATATTGTTAAAGAAGCTTTAAACGAACATTATACTCAAGAAGCTAATCTGCAAATACGATTTGGTGGCTTTTTCTACCATTATCAATCAGTCATCCCGAACTCACGATGTCTAATATATTCAGGGACTGCTTTGGGACTTTCATATGCTCAAACACGAAATCTTCTCACGCCAATCGCAATTCATGCGTGTTGGAACTCGGGGGTTATCTTGCTTCTGACCTTCCTCCAGGTAAATTGATCACGCCCCCCGTACTCTTTCTTGAACTCGCTATTTCTTAGCTTAAAATACGGAAGCAATAAAAGACGGTCATTGTTGTCGTAGACAAGTAAAAAGCCGGTCTAGATAGGGAGGGCTATAATGCACATTGGCAGATTGAATCCAATCAATTAGCTAGTCTAACTCATGGCCTTATAAACTCATATTGTTCTTTCTTACTTTTTCAATGTGGGACTCTTAGTACCGCGACTAATCATGACATAATGACCTATTAACTGTCATCAATAATGTAACGTTTATAACGTTGCACTGTTCTGATATAATCGTTACATCGAACTCTATTTTGTGTGTAGCTTCAAGGATATGACATCAAGGAAATAATACAAGCATCTTGATTCAGATTGAGGAGTGAGCAGAGTTGTGGCATTTTCTTATTCAGCCTTCATCTTAAGTCATAACTGTTTATTTCGTAGATTTGTAGTAGCAGTTTGAGCTGTAATGTATTCTTGCCAGAATTTTAGTTTGTATTCAAACATGTTTTTGGCACATTAATTTGTTCAATCGAAATTGCAGCAGTGTTGTGTATTTCATGTAATTACTTGTGTGCTATTTTATTCTTTTTGGTTAATTTTTAGTCTGTATTCAAACATGTTGACTCATGTATATGTTATAGTGTTATACCGTTAGTCTGTTATAGTACTTAATTGGGTTGACACGATACGACCATGTATTAATAGAGATGTCAAAATGGGTTAGCTCGGTGGATGATATGCCAAGAAAAGATGGATCAAACCAAGTTAGCTTCTTTTTTATTTTTATTTTATTTTTTTTTGAGGGAAATTTGCAACCACTACTTGATGGTAGGTAAATTTTGTTCTTATGTAATAGTAAAAAAATTATACTAAAAAGACCTTATGGGACGAGCTCTATCGAGAGGGTGTTGCTCAAAAAAGTTGCTTATTTTGAAATGGGCTTGTATGTTTACCACTCATCTTCCCTAATGATGAGTTAAACCAATCCCAAAAAAGTTGCTTATTTTGAAATGGGCTTGTATGTTTACCACTCATCTTTCCTAATGATGAGTTAAACCAATCATTATATCATGGACCATGGTTTACTGGTAATTTTTTTGTTTTAAAGTAAAATAATAATGTATTAATTAAAGAGATGTAATAAGCAGTTTGGGGGAGAGTCGAAGAGGTCTCCCAAGAACAACGAACATATTGAGAGCCAGTTCTCCTAACTAGGGTTTGTTCGCTGATCGTGGAATAAAATGACAAATTGAGTTTTTAAAAGAGGTAAATAATGTGTGATATTGATCTAGAATTGGACTCGTGTAAGAGTGATTATTAAGCTTTTTTGGGATCACCATTGTGATGTTGTAACAATGGGACTCCAAGCATATGTTATTGTCTTGACGAGAGCTTTCAGCCATGATGGAACTTACTTGCATGCCACAACGTAACTTCCACATGGTGAGGATTATTGACATATGGGATTGGTCCACTTATGCCTGCCACAAAGTTCTTGTCTCATCTAAGATTACCGCGCCAAAGCCAGTCGTTTTTGTCTTGTGGAATAATGCCCCGTCGACTTGACAATGCCACGTTGACTTGACAGGGTATTGCTCCCGTCGGAATAGGGGCTGGTGGTTAGATCTGGCTAGATTGACGGTGGTGCTTTGTCGAGAGATTTCGGTAGATTATTGTTATAACTTATAAGATACATTTTTAATATACTAAATGTTCATTTTTTGAAGGTACATTATTTGAGTACTGAAGGTTCATTATTTGGTATACTACCAAATAATAAATTTTAAAGTACAAAAATAATATATCTTCAATATATTAAAATGATAATTTAATACAAAGATAATTTTAATCTAGAAATCTTGTATATAGAGTCATACTTATACTACTGAATTATTATAAGATTCTTTATGTAGTAGCTTAAATGATTTGTTATAATTTGTAAATTTGTAATTTTAATTACTAAAGTTGTTCTTTCCAAAATCATAATATAAGTTTCTAAAATAAGCCCCCTAAATGAATTAAGATATATACAAATGTAATTTTAGAACTTTGTAAACATACAAATAAAATATAGTAGGATCAAATAAGCATCCTAAGTGAACTAAATAATACAATTCAACTCCTAACTCAAAAAAGTTCTATTGAGACCCTTAAATAGGTAAAAAAAAAAAAAAAAGTACAAATAAGTTCTAAAGTTACTTGTTCATTAGACCCTCTAAATAGGTAAAAAAGTGCAAATTAAATAAGTTCTAAAATTACTTGGTCATCAAAGCAACCTCAGGTTTGTTTGTGGTTTCTTTATGCCCACCTAGAGGATAGATGGTCGTGTCAATATGAAAATGTAATACTTAGATTGAGATATATATGATTATCCCAACCAATTTGCTATTGGCAAGATGATGTGTGATATATATATATATATATATATATATATATATATATATATATATATATATATATATATATGTAGTTTTGATTATTTGGATTGCAAATTTGCTGCAATCTAGTGCTGCGACATCTTTTGTACTTTTTTTTTTGGTTTTAAAAAAATTCTTTACTTTTAAATATTTAAATGTAATTGGTATAAATTAATAATGTTATTTTAATATATTGGGGCCTATTTTTGAAAATTGATTGGATATACACGGATATAGTGTGAATAGTAAATTAAATGATTTACAAATTGGGTGAGGTTGAAGTGTAACCCATTTTTGAAAGTGAGAGAGATTTGCAGGGATAATGATAGGCTTATACTGAAAAATGTAATACTAATAATGAATAAAATATTTGTTACCTATAAGGGAAAGTGTATACTTTCATGGAAAAAATATAATATTTTTAAATCAAAATATAAAAATATTACATTTTTCCAAGTAAGGATCCGTAAGACGATTTCACATAAGTTTTTGTCATTTAAAATATATCTTCTGATTTATTCCACCCGACTAAAGTTATAATTTTAAAGTAAGAGTAACTGGAACCCCTCATAATTATTATATTAAAGTGTTATCCTTAATATATAAGACTTAGTGACCTTGGACAACAAGGATCCATTTGATAAATTTGAATACCAAATTTAAAGATTTCTCATCGCTCTTGCTTTGAAAATGGGTGAAGGGTCGGTTTGATAGAGATGAGGCAAGTAGTAGTACGTTCATCACATGAAAAGAGGAAAGCCTTTGAATATAATGCTATAAACATCATGAGTTTGAAATGTAAAGACTTTTTTTTTTAAATAATATAAAAATTCCCTAATTACAATGTCATATTTAAAAGGTTGGTGTACACGTTTGGGTAGGAAACCCAAGGTCAAATTAAAGAAGGGACAAGATGGGTTTGAAACGAGGGTTAGATTTCTGGATTTTCACTAAGTTTTGAAGTCCCCAAGTTGGGCATTTGACTCAATGAACCCTCTCCACATTTAATACCAAACCTTATAATTAACTATATATAAGTACGTACCACAAAAATTAATTAAATACAACCTTAATTCAACTTTGGTTTTAGGGTTTTTGCGAGGGATTCAAACTTCTATGAGTGTTGCATTGTTTGAGTAGAACACTCACATAATTGCTTTTCAAGAAGCAAGGTGATTTGAGGAAATCCATGGTCAGTTTTTCCATACAATTAAGTTGCTATTCAAGAGTTAGGATCTTGCAAATACGATATATTGGTCAAGTTCGTCGCATAGGGTCTTTCTTGTGCAAGCTACCTTTCTGTGGTCATGTAAGGTTTACGTGGTTATTACACTGGAGCAGGGTTTGCTAAGTGCACACTCTAAGGTAATGCAGTGGTTGAGAGTTTTCCTCGTCACCTAAAAAAACACTTGATCAACTCTTTACCCATGTGATGAGGATGCGATGACGTGTGCGTGAGTCTTTTCTAATTTAACCAGAAGTCTTACATACACGACACATACATGAATAATCTTGATAATGTGGGATCCTAATTGACTGATTGATAGAAATTTGTTTTTAAGATTATTGAAGACAAAGCGGGTTGGACCATAGAAACAATCAAGAATTAAATGGTGATGAATGTATCGTTGAAAAATATTTTCATAAAGTAATGTTAAATATTTTTTTTTATTACAAAAATCACTACTTAATGTTCATTCTGATCCATTACGTGTCATTATTGTATTGACTTTTTTTTTTTTTTTTTTTTTTTTAGAAAAATAACTTTTTATATTTGATTATTATGTTAACTGATTATTAATTTAGTGTTAGACAACCAATAAAAAAATTCAAGCTGGGTTAGGACTTTCAAATTTAATTTATCCTTAAAAAATGACGTTTCACAGTTTACAATAATGTAGTTATTTCTAACTCAATAAGGTAGCTCAAGTGGCAAATGAGCTCTCTTTGTGGGGGAGAATTTCAAGATAACTTGGTTCAATTCCCACAAGTGACAATCCCCTTTGGGCTAGCTTCTGTGTCTCTCGGAGCAAACTGGGTGGACTTGGACCGTTAAACGGATAGAGAAAGACCTGGACCACAATGTGTGGTTTACACAAAAAAAAATAATGTAGTCGTTTCTATATATATGAGAACATGGGAACAATTAAGTGCAAACGCGATTAAATGCGTTTGCACACATTTAATTCACGTTCGCATACACTTAATCTAATCTAGACAATTAGATGTAGGGGTGTCAATATGGGCCGGCCTGCGAAGCCTGCGGGCTTGGAACTATACAACCCAAGCCCGCCCCATGCGGGTTTGCGCTAGTATATAAACATGTTAAAACCGCTTGAAATATGGCACCGGAAACTTCCATAAAATCCATAAACCTCACCCAAATCTCCTCGATCGATACGGCGCGTTCAGTAGAACTGTAGAAGCGTGATCAAAGCTATCACACTCGATTTCTCTCTCGGCTTCAGATTTTCCCGTCTGTGTATAATACATATATTCAGATTTTCCCTCTACAATTCCCGTCTGTGTATAATACATATATAAATATGTATGTTTGCTTGATTTGGAGGCTATTTAGTAATTCATAAATATGTATGAATTGATGATTTAGTTTTAGTAATTATTTGATAGAGTTGGAGGTGGATGGAGACGGGAGAATCGAAGAACTACGTACTCTAGGAATTATTGAATTAAGAATTGGCGAAGGATTATTGAATTATTGGATTTCTCCCCTTCTGCGTACTCTTAGATAGTTAGATCTACACATTGCCTAAGAATTAAGATATTATATATATGATTTTTTAAAAAAAAGATATTATATATATAATTTATTTATTTATTTTTTAAATATGGCCTGGCCCGCGGGCCGGCCCGCAACCCGCGCGGGCTCTGGCCCTCCGCGGACCATGCCCGTTAGGCCCGCATTTTCGCGAGCCTAACTTCTTGCGGCCCTAACCCGCCCCATTGCGGGGCGGGTGCGGGCTAACCCGCGGGCTTTGGCCCACTTTGACACCCCTAATTAGATGGATGCACACGATTTGTTCTCACGTTTTCACCTAAACAAGTGTTCTTATCGGAACCCTACTATATATATATATGAGAACGTGGGAATAATTAAATCGTGTGCATCTATCTAATATTTTTTAATGGTTTGGATTAGATTAAATGTGTGCAAACGCGATTAAGTGCGTTTGCACACATTTAATTCACGTTCGCACACATTTAATTCACGTTCGCACACACTTAATCTAATTTAGACAATTAGATGGATGCACACGATTTGTTCTCATGTTTTCACCTAAGCAAGTGTTCTTATCGGAACCCTACTATATATATATATATATATATATATATATATATATATATATATATTGGTTCAAATGCTGACAGTACTTCCCATGCGGTCGGTGCGGATTCATCATTAGGTATGTAAAAATGCACTAATACACCACACACAAAAAAATGCACCACACCTAATGGTGTATCTTCGAACACTTTGTGGTACATTTATGCATACCTAATAGTGTGTGACCGCTCGGTCACACGAAAAATAGTCTGCACAGGAATTTGACCTTACCATTAGGTATGCAAAAATGTACTAATACACCACGCACCAAAAAAATGCACCACACCCATAGACGGAGCCAAGGGGGGGGGGGGGGGGGCAGGGGGATCAGCTGCCCCCCCTCACCCCACCCCACCCCTACCCCTACCCCTACCCCATATATAATTTTTGTATGTATATATAGTACATTTTTTAGTATTAGTATATAAAAACTGTTAATTGTTCATAAGAAATGAGTTAGATTAGTTAGTAGAGCATGCATTTGGTTATAATAAAGGTTAGGCGTTCGAATCATATAGTTTTTTGGCTCCTTCCCTATGACTTTAACACAATCACGTTTTAATAGTTTTTTTAATATTTGATACACACATACATACATACATACATATATATATATATATATATATATATATATATATATATATATATATATATATATTCAAATTATTTTATCAAATTAATTATGTTTCATATTTTGTTATGAATATTTTTATAAAGTTTCGATTTGTTTTATTTTCGCCCGTATCCAATAATATTTACACATATATTTCTTAGGTAATTTATTTATTTATTTTTAAATATCTCTTTTATTTTAATGTTTCGCCTTTACTGAAAAAAATTGTGAATTTGTCCCTATTTCGCCCCCCTCAACAAAATTTCTGGCTCCGTCCCTGACCACACCTAATAGTGCATTTTCAAATACTTTGTGGTGTATTTATGCGTACCTAGTGAGTGACCGCTCAGCGACACGAAAAACACTATTCACCCAAGAATTTGACCTATATTTTTTTAAAGAAAATCTTTTCAATCTCTAAACTCAAAATTGATTTTCAATTGGTTATAATTATATTCTCAATTATATATATATATATTGAGTTTTAATTGTGTACACAATTAATTTATCTTAGTCTTACAAAGAGTTTATGCTAAAAGAAGTATTATATATATTTGATAGTTTTAATTATTGTATGCATGATTATAAAATTCGCTATTACCAATCATTTATTTTAGCAACTAAAAAGTGGACAGAAATTAAGAAAATGTTTAACTTTTTATTTTTATTTTTAGTTTTTTTTTTTTAATCACCCTGTACGGTGTTCAGAAAATTTCAAAACCTTAGAAAAAAACCACTTTCCTATAAAACTTTTGCGATCAATTCAAAACTTGAAAATTTTAAAAAAATTATAATGTTCCTAATTCCTATATATTGAAAAAAGAGGAGAAGAGAAAAAAAAAAAAAAGAACAAAAAGAGGAGAAAATCAGAACGAAAAAATTATAATGTTCCTAAAAGGTTTCGGTTCTAGTTTAACATTTTTTTTTTTGAACTAAAACTGAACCGTAGTTATGTTTACCGCCGTCTAGAAGAAACATAACTAATAACCATGGCTACTAAAAAAATTTTTAGTAACTATGGATATTTTTAAAATATAAATTTTAGTTTCCAACCATCACCCCATGGTCGACTGGTTGTTGACGTTTAACTAATTAAATTTTTCAACCATTGAAAAAATAATTAGATTTTCAGCCATTTTTAATGACTGATCAGTAATAACAATGAAACTCATGAAAGATTTTTCAAATCGATTAAGATTGAAATGTCATCATTTATTACCAAAAGGTCAAAATATTTTTCTAACTTTCCATTGAAAGCTGTTAGGTTTTCCCAAGACAGAATTACAAAAACTCTTACAATTATAATGTTAAATAGATTTGTAAAGAGTAATAATGCACACCTCATTTTTTACTCCTTATTTGTGTGTCGTGTTCTAATTCATCTAGAAAGAAAAATGCATTCTATTATTTTTATTACTCTTTTTCTTCTATCAATAAAATCGCGACGACATACGTAAAAGGAACTGAAGGGAGTCCATACATTATTTCTATTGAGCAACATGCAGCTTGGAGAGTCGATCGAGTCCAGTACCTTACCATTGAAACGATCTACGATCCTACCATGGGCACTAACTTTTACACAAATATAAAAAAATAAAGTTACGCATTTGCTATTAACTATAACTTCTGACGTAATGGTAAGCTGTTAATACTGAAGAGGTACAATAAGTGATGGCGTGATGCATATATCACTCCTCACCAATCATTACAAAGGCACACAAAATTGCATGCATCATATCATGTCAAGAAATCAGTAAAAAGAAACCAATGAGATCCACCAAAAAGCTTGACTTTTTTTCACTTCATCAACATGCAACTGTTACAAAAGGCCATCCATCCCTGTTATCCAGGACTAGTAGTCAAGATTTTGCCTGTGACAACATGCCACATAGGATCTAAGTGGTCCCCACACATGATATGTCCTTTGACTTTTTGACCTCCTCTACATACATATATACACACAACACTACAGCTAGCAAAAGGCATCTTCTCATCTTCTATGAATGATCAGTCAAATATATATATATATGGGTGCCCACAGAATACTTACATATGTATATATATATTTTTAGCCTGACAGGTCAGTGGAATAGAAGCTGCAAAGAATGGAATAGAAATGGGATTTTTGGATCCTGAGAAAACTATGCAAACCCTATTCTAAACTCCAAAAAGAAAAAATTTAATAAAAACTCTGCAGAGGTTGCAGGCTGGCTATATCTTCACAGCCCTCCCTCTATAGGGGTCTGCCATAATCTTAATATTTATATATAATTTTGTGCCCTTCTGCTTTGGGACTTGCATGGTTTCTTGAACCCATTTTTCCTAATAACAATTCAAACCTAAATTAATATAATCTAGGTTGCTTTGTCTTGTTGCATGCATATATATTTATTGATTGATTACCAACTTTCATATATTATAACCTTAATAAGTTTTAAACTTTGAAAATCAAACACTAATGTCCTAATCCCCATAGCAATTGATTTGCCAATCTTTAGACTCCTCAATTAATTGTACTAAATAAATAGCAGTTAAGTTATTGGCTTGACAGGGGTGATCGAGTTGGTAGATTATGATTCTCGTACTAGAAAACCACAAGTTGAATTCTTAAAAATATCCTCTCGATAAGTCGACCCCATTGCAATGTCTTCTTTTTTACCTTCCTTTCCCGTGTGATTTGTAAGGCCAGTTTACTCTGTATACTCTCTCAAATGAGTTTACTCTGTATACTCTCTCAAATGAATGGTTGACAACTACTGGTTGTGAGTTTTCTCGTCACAAAAAATATCCTCTCGATAAGTCGACCCCATTGCAATGTCTTCTTTTTTACCTTCCTTTCCCGTGTGATTTGTAAGGCCAGTTTACTCTGTATACTCTCTCAAATGAGTTTACTCTGTATACTCTCTCAAATGAATGGTTGACAACTACTGGTTGTGAGTTTTCTCGTCACAAAAAGAAAAAAGAAAAAAAAAACAGTTAAGTTGTGTAAATGAAAGGCATTAATGTGAGATATAAGTGTCATTTATTATGGGGGTGTAGACAATCTTCTTGACTTTGCTAGGGTTTCTTGGTAGCTGTATTTTCATTTTCTTTTACATTTTTTTAATATTCTTTTACATTTCTTTCTTGTTAGTTGATGATTAAAATATATAAATTTGTAACCTAAATTTTAATAATGGTAAAAGTTTAAAATAGTTTCAAGTTAAGGCACAAGCATGAAATAATAATATTAACAACAACAGATCTTCGAAAAAAAACAATAATATATAGTATATGTATACTAAATTTTCATTACTTTTAGTTAGAACCCGTATCTAATAAACTTATGTCTTTTCTATTCAAACCAATACCTTTTATTAGTAGTTTCTATTTAATATTTAAGATTAATTAATCAGATCCCTATTTTTGTTATGGTAGGTTTTATGGGAATGAAGGTGAAAATATTCAAACTTAGATTTATTGTTTAAGGTCAGGTGCATAACTTATCACCAAATCATGATTTTAAAATTGAGTTAATTCCATTTTTGGTCCTAGATTTATAGGTGACAGTCTACGTTTTTTTTTTTTTTTTTTTTTTTTTTTTTTTTTTTTAATCTGAACATCTCTTTTTGGATCCTAGTATTATTGTGACATGACCATTTTTTATTTTCTGCCAACAAAATCGTTGAAATGCCGTTAAATACAAGGACATTTCGATCTTTTTAATACAAAGTAGTTGACTAGTTATATTTTTTATGTTTATATTTTTGAAAAAATCCACAACTGAAGATCGAGATGCCCTTGTATTTAACAACATTGTTGACAGAAGTCAAAAAATGATGATGTCACAATAATATTAGGACCAAAGATGAGGTTATAAAAAGGACTAAAAGTGGAGTGGTAAATAATATCAGTATTAAAAAAACAAAATTTTGACCGATAAATTAACGTGTGCTAAAATTGGCATACATGAGAGAGGTGAGATTTCGTATGTTGTACTAAAAGTCAGCAGAAAAGGCGGCTGAACCTTCGGGGGCAGACCCCTAGCGAGGAAGCATATATTGCCTTCTTCTTAATTATATTACACACCTCCATTCTCATCTTCGACCTCTTTCTCCATCTTTATCTCTTTGGATTTTCATGCTTTTTTACCTCTCTATATACTATACTTCTCCTCAAGAGAAAAGCTAAAAAGGGTTTCCTTATTTTCTGCTACCTAAACCTCTCTGGGTTGTCTGCACATAATATAACCAGGTTTTGGTCTGATCTGCCTGTCTGTCTTGCTTGCTTTGAGGGGGGAAGTTAAGAGAGCCCAGCCCATTTTCTTGGCTGTTTTGTGGGTAGAAAGAGTTTTGGGTGGTTATGGATGGGAGAAGTAGTGATCAGACAGAGAAAATAATGGATGAAGTTATGTTGCCTGGTTTTAGGTTTCATCCCACAGATGAAGAACTGGTAGGGTTTTATCTGAAGAGGAAGGTCCAACATAAACCCCTCTCCATTGAGCTCATCAAACAACTTGACATCTATAAATATGATCCATGGGATCTCCCAAGTAAGTCATCATCATATATATATGAACCAACACCCTTAGCTTCTCCACTTTTACCATGTTTCGACAATATTTAGGTTAAAACTTATGCTAGATCTTTGATGGTTTGGGGTGTGAGTTTCATGGATGCATGCACTTCCTCTTTCTCTAGATCTTGATGACAAAACCCATACAAAACCCTCCTTTTTTTTTTTTTTTTTTTTTTTGGGTTCAATTCACAAGTCATGTGATGATAAATACATTCGATAGATGAACAACTAAAGCTGGTTTACCTTCTTGTGATCCTTTACCAGCTAAGATCACACTCTCAGATAATGGTTCTTGTCACCAAAATATGTTTTTCCTTTGCTGGTTAGGGTAACAAGGCGGGGTTACCCATCCAGACTACACTTTTGAGTAGTCACTGCGAGTTATTCTCTCGTGACCCAAATGTGTTTGATAGATACATGTTTTAAGCTAAGAAAACATTATTATTCATATCAAATAATGTTGTAATATGTTGTTTTTTCTTTGTGGTGTTATTGTTACAAGCAGAGATAGCGGCGGTGGGGGAAAAAGAATGGTATTTTTACTGTCCGAGGGATCGGAAGTACAGGAACAGTGCACGGCCGAACCGGGTGACGGGGGCGGGTTTTTGGAAGGCCACCGGAACTGACCGGCCGATCTACTCGTCGGAGACGTCCAAGTGCATCGGACTGAAGAAATCCCTTGTGTTCTACAAAGGTAGAGCCGCCAGAGGGATAAAAACCGATTGGATGATGCATGAGTTCCGGCTGCCGTCGCTCTCTGATATCTCCACCCCCAAACGATGTTTGGACAAAAATATCCCTCCCAATGTAAGTATAAACTACACAACCCTCACCTATTGCTACAAAACTTGCTGTTATTTACTTATTTACCCCCCAAAGTAGTCGAAAATCCGGGTTTCTGGTTCGAAATGACCTTCTTGATCAATTTTTCAGCCACTCAAAGTGGTTGAAAATAAGGGTTTCTGGACAGAAATGACTTTACTGATGGATTTTTCAACCACTCGAAGTAGTACGTCAAAAATAAGAGTTTTTGGTCTGAAATGACCTTATCTTCTTGATCAATTTTTCAACCCTTTAATGATTTAAGAAAAATTTTGTTTCTACCCGCCGAAAATGATTAAATTAAGAACATCGACTACCAACAAAGGTTTGTCGGACAAGACTAAGATTTTGAAATGTGAAGTTGGATATGACGGTGCATATTGAACAAATAGATATTAAGTATCCCAAAATAAAACAGTCACACTAAAATAACGTAAAGAACGTTTGGTAACAACAAAGTTCTAAGTTTGACTACTTGTAAAATCTACCTATTGGCTTTTGGGCAACCTAGATCGTTTAATTTACTTTCTTTGTAGTCATTTGTTAGCTAGAGTCACAAGCTAAGATGTGTGCCGCCCAGAATACACATTTAAATAATAACTACGAATATTTTCGTAAATTATAGATTATGAATAAAAAGTACATGGTATAATTAAGGGTGTTATACGTGTATTCTTGAAATGCCTCATCCTTTCTTGATTAGTGCATATGAAAGCAATATATATATGTTTGAAATTGGTCCATTTTTGTTTTGTTTAATGTAGTATAAATATTTGACATTAACTAGGTCAAAATGTGCATTGGTTTTTTCAGGATGCATGGGCAATATGCAGGATTTTCAAGAAAGCAAACTCCAATGCACAAAGGGCACTTTCCCATTCATGGGTAGTCTCATCACCTCCAACAACCATACCCCAAACCCCCACACAACAAACACTCCTAACCCAAAACACCAACAACCTTAATCAAGTGTCCATGCCAACCCATGACTTCAAAAACTCGCCGGAGATCATGGCGGTGGCGGCGGTGGGCGCCGCCACCCACCCACTAGATCTCCTCCCCTACAATGACCCCTCCACAAGCTACACATTTCCCCCTTCCCTATTCACCCATCCTCATCATCTGCAACCCACCATTAATGATGCATCTTCCCTGCTGCTGGACATGTCAAACTCGGTGTTTGGGGAGTTTATTGGGAAGGGCTCCGATGAGAGCACGGTGGACTACGGTGGGCTGATCAACGGCGGTGGGTTTTCGGCGGTGGTGCCGCCGGAGAATGCGGTGGAGGGCAGACTGCAAGATGGTGTGGTGGTGGGGAATAAGGAATCATCATCAAACATAATTGATGAATCCATTAGGTTTTCGTTCAATGGGTTTCCTTTGAATATGGGGGCTGAGAATGCATGGAAGTTGTCTAGTTTGGTGTGGGAGTCTTCACCATGCCCTAGTGAGATATCTAGTACTAGTTATTCTACTACCAAGTGTTACACTTGACATAAACTAACTAAATTTGGTGTTACTTAGCTTGTTCTTAATGTAATGTAGTTTCAAGATTAATTAGTCAATTATTTAGGTTTGATCTCTTTTTTTGGATCTGACATGCACTTAATCCATCTTGAGAAAAATGTTGTAACATTTGTATGAGTTACAATAGAATGTTAGATTGAGTATTGTTATAAGTTTGAGAGCCCCTTACTTCCGGGGATGGGTGGAGTAGGTAAATTGCGAGCGGGTGTATAACAAGACCAAATTCATACTTCATTTTTTTGAGTGTCTTATGAATTGCGAGATCAAAATAATGACAAATTCATACCACCTTGTGGTTGCTAGCAAAGCAACACGAGCCCATAACAAGGCCAAATTCATACATCATAAATCGCGGGCTCACGGCTCACAATAGGGCCAAATTCATACTACACAGCGACTGTTAGCAAAGAAATGCGGGCCCACAACAAGACCAAACCCATATATACCAATAGTTATGCTGTGCATCCGTATGCACCATGCATGGTGCATACGGATGCAAAAATGACGTCGTTTTATTAAAAACGCGCATCCCACTTAAAAAAAAAAAATTAGTTTCGATTCCCCTCAACAACATTATGTTGTTCATTCATTCTGAAATTTTAGTTCATAGATTCTGGAATTTTAGTTCATAGATTCTGAATTAATTCATTGATTCTGGATTTTTTGTTCATCGATTCTGGAATTTTAGTTCATCGATTCTGGAATTTTAGTTCATTCATTCTGGAATTTTAGTTCATAGATTCTGGAATTTTAGTTCATAGATTCTGAATTTTAGTTCATAGATTCTGAATTTTAGTTCATTGATTCTGGATTTTTAGTTCATCGATTCTGGAATTTTAGTTCATCGATTCTGGAATTTTAGTTCATCGATTCTGGAATTTTAGTTCATTCATTCTGGAATTTTAGTTCATAGATTCTGGAATTTTAGTTCATAGATTCTGGAATTTTAGTTCAAATTATGCACAATATAATGTTGTTGCTGGGAATCGAAACTGATTTTTTTTTAAGTGAGACGCGCGTTTTTGATAAAACGACGTCATTTTTGCATCCGTATGCACCATGCAAATTATGGGCCCACAACAATATTAAATCCTTACCACCCAAATTATTGTGTGGATCATGGTCCACGCAATTGTGTGGACCATGAATATCAGGTACATTTTTAATATATTAAAAGTACATTATATAAAATAACATACCCTTAGTATATTAAAAATGTAATTTCAAAAAATGTACCTTATGTACATAAATAATGTACCACTAGTATATTAAAACTGTATTTTTTATTTATGGTCCACACAATTGTGTGGATCATGGTCCATGCAATAATGATTGATGCATGATTGCTAGCAAAGCAGAACAGGCTCACAACAAGGCCAAATTTATACCTCTCTTTTTTGGTCATGTAAATTTTAGGCTCATAACAAGTTCAAATCCATACCAACCCAACACCCTGCGGGGGGATGCTAACTAGCAAAGCAAAACCTCTCAACTTATTTTGGGTTGGTTGACCTCCCCAGCTCCCTTTTTTTAGTCCTTGGTAATATTTGAAACTTACACCTAGGATTACTAACAAAGCAAAGTCTATCAATTTATTTTGAATTGGTTGACCAGTTAAGTTATATTTTTTAGTAGATTGAGTATTGTTATGGAAAAGATCGAATTAAATAATTCATCGAATTAAATTCAAAAATGTGATTCAACCACTAAGCATTTTACGGTGCATTTGAAAACCCGGAAAATGATTTCTGGAAATCATTTTCCGGGTTCCCAGTGCTTGGCTAAAGAGAAAAATGGAAGTCAATGGAAAATATGAGTGTGGTCAATGAAAAATAGAGGGGATTTTCCAAAAAATGACTTTTTTTTTTTTGTGGGGTGGGAGGGGGGGGGGGGGGAAGTCATTTTCCGTTTGCAAGAGCAGCCAATCACCCGCTGCTGCCGCCACGACCACCCACCACCACCATTATATATTTTAAATATTTAAAATTTAAAATAATTATGCTCATTTTCCAGAAAATGAACCAAACATACCAAGATAATTTTTTGGAAGGTAACCAAACACTGGAAAGGAAAATGTTTTCTAGAAAATGATTCATTTTTTAGAAAATATTTTTTCAAAAGTCATTTTCCTACTTTCCAAACACACCCTTATTATCACGTAAATTCGCCAATTTTCTAGATGCCTCCATTAAACTAGTTTACGTGGATTATTACATGGAAAATTTTTAAATAGTGTTTTTTCTCCAACCTTAGGCTATCTTTATCCCTGCAATTTTTTCACTTTCAAAAGTGAGTACTACCTCAACATCATTAAACTTACAATTCCTTCACTATTTTTTCTAGATCCTGGCAATACTCTTTTACTTTCAAAAGCGGTTTCACTTTCACATCACAATAATAAATTAATATATTTTCCTTCGTAGCAAAAGTAGCATGTTGCAAGCTTGCAACCCACGATGGACAATAAAGAAAAGAAAAACTAACTTTTTTAGGGTAATGTTAAATGTCCCTCTTATTTTTCTTCCCCAAATTCATTCTTCCTATGTATCATCAGTTAATTAGTTACTAATTTTATTTTTAAAATTAATGGTGAGTTAACTAATTCATGACACCCAATGAGTGAAAGCCACATTAAGAGATTAGAGAAAATTCAGAAAGGACAAAAAACATTTCTTTTTTTTTTTCTTTTTAAATTCCACATCACCTTGAATTAAGGGATAAAAACAACCTTATATGACCGACATGCATGCTATTGCTAACTGCTAAGAGCATCCCAATAGGTTTATATATATATATATATATATATATATATATATATATATATATATATATATATATGTGTGTGTGTGTGTGTGTGTGTGTGTGTGTGTATATGGTTTTTGAAACAGTAAAAAATTAGAGGGATGATTTTTATCAAATGTGGAGTGTGATTTTTTGTTAGATTTTTCTCTTGAAATGAATGATTTTTTGTGGGGTCTTTCAAGAGAGAGAAAAGGGAAAACAAAGACTGATGGTTGCGCGTGGAACGCAAAAATCACGCCCAGTAGACACGTGCATAGCACACGTGGGCGCGTATTTTTAAACCTTTTCTATTTTCTTTTAAACAAAATTGTTGTTAGCTCTCTCTCCCCCCCCCCTTTCCTTTTTTTTTTTTCTTTTTCTTTTTCTCTCCTTTTTTTCTTGCCCTCCTCTTTCTTTCTTAATTGGCACATTAAAAACTCCAAAAAAAATTAGAGCTAATGAGGTTGCTCTAATATTCTGCAATTTTTTTTTTTTATCGAAAAAACAATTTCTAACCATAGTCGCGATCTGCCATCATTGATCATTGTCAGCACTAACCACCAAAGATTAATCATCAATAGCCACGAACAAAGCCACAAACTTTGTTTAGTGGGGCAAAAAATTAAATAAGATTAAAATTAAAACACTATAAAATATATTTATAATAAACTATGAAATGGTTTTATTAATTGCATCTTATCTCTATTAATATGATATTCATAAATATATATATATTTTTATTTTAAATAGATCAATCCTAAGTATTTCTAAATTAATTTAAATACGATGGTGCAATTTAAACTTTTAGATTATATTACATGGACTATATAGTTTCTTAAAAGCAAAATTTAAAAAAAAAAATCATAATTGAATTACATAAATATCACAATCACAATTAGAATTATGATTTATTATGATTAAAATTTAAAACTCACAAATCACAATTTTAATTTTAATAAGAAGATAAAATATAAATATTAAAATATAAATAAATATTTAAAGTATGGTAGGAAAAGATAAAATGATCTAAATTATAGTGTAGTTAACGAGGTTTGATCACCTTCTATAATAAAACCTACTCACTACCAACTAAGCTATCACAAACCTCAATAATTTTTGCATAGATAGTGTACTCTTTATTTCTTGTTTTTGTTTGATCCAGCATTATTTGTTGTTCTTGAGAACTTAGATGTAAAGCACTTAAGTCCTAAATAATAACATGCAAAACAAAATCTTAGCATAAGTGAGATAAACATTCAACAAAACATAAAGAAAAATACAAATCTGAGTATCCCAAAAAACATGAAAATACACATTCAAGAATCCTCAATGCTAAGATGTATCCAAAAATAGGTTTGTCTCTAAAACCAGCAAGTCATGTCTTGCACAACACAAAACACACAACTTAGGCTTTAGAAGCTTGCTTTTCCTTGGCCTTCTGAATCTTCAAAACTTTCTTCACAATCTTTTGCTCTTCCACCAAAAAGGCTCTGATGATCCTGCATAAACCGAGACAATGGCAAAAATTTTGTTTAGAAATCAACATGGACGACTATGGAGTAATGTTGAGGGTGGGGGGTAAGTCGGGAAAGAAGTAGTGTAGTGTTACCTTTCCCTGACAGCACTGCCGGACAACACTCCACCATAGGGGCGGTTCACAGTCCTCCTGCATCTAGGCAACCTAGACCTCTTGTATTCAGCGGGTCTCAAGTGAGGAATCTGCAGACGTGAAGAGCATAGACCGCCGACTTAGATCATTTCACACTAATGTGGTTAAGAAACTCAATCAATCAATTCTACACTTCCTCCGAGAAGAGGATGGCCCTGTTTGGTAAAAAATTGGCCTATAGGCCAATTTTGGCTTATTTGACCACTATTAACTGTTTGATTTAGTTAAAATATCAATATAAATGTTTGGTTAATTAGCTTTTTGCAACTCTAAAAGGCTAAAATTCAAAAAGCTACCCCAAGCAACTTTTTCAATTAGCTTTTTGAGAAAAGAAATTATACCAAACATCTATCAGCTAACAGCTAATTTACCAAACACTTTTCTACAATCGGCTAATGTTATCAACTATTTTTAACACAATCCGCTAACAGCTATCCGCCAACAGCCATTTTACCAAACAGGGCCGATACAAAACATAAATTGCTCAAAACCAATCTGTCAGAAACATAAACATGCTACATTCATCAATCAACTAATGTTCCACAAATATATAACACAAACTCAAAATCGTGCCCGACAAAGTGGAAATGTTCTTAACCACTTCAAACCATTGATTCATTAGCCCTTATACCAAAATTTTCCTTGCATAAATTTCACATCACATTCCAATAACTACAAAAAGCTCTCTACCATGAACACAATCTCCTACACCAAACAAGGATTATAATACATGAAATCTATTAATAAATTGTAACAATAAAATAGGCAAATGTGAGCACGATAACTACTAATTTCAACAAGAACACAAGGGAACTAATAATAAGAGTATCCACTTAACACAATCAGAAGACAAAATTAACACAAAAACAACAGAGCAAATCCTAAATCAAACCAAAATACTATGCAATCAAAAAGTAATTAAATTGATCAAATATGTATAGACAGAAAAACACATACCCCTTGGATTCTCTTCCCAGTTACAGGGCACTTGGGGCCACTAGCCCTCTTCTTCGTGGTCTGATACACCAGCTTCCCACCTATTCACACCATATTTCCAACACCCACAAACCAAGAACACATTTTTATCACAAAAATCCCAGGATTATATCATGGAATAACGTAAACACTCACACAAATCCCCCCAAAAAACAATGAAAATGCAGAAAATTGAAGAGAGAGGTGAAATACCAGGGGTTTTGACGACCCGGTGTTGGTTGGATTTGGTGGCATAGCTATGCCTCTTGCGATAGGTGAGCCGCTGCACCATTTTTATGCTCTGAAGCTCTGGGTTAGGTTTGTTTCTTTGTTTCTTCTCCCAAAGAAGGATGCGGAGACTGGAGATTAAAGATATAAGGATCTAAATCGGATATCTGAAGCCCTAGATCGAACGGTCAGTATAAAGCAGCACCTTTCTGGGCTTTTAAGGCCAACCGAAATGCGCTTCTTATTGGATTTAATTAATTGGCCTTCGAACCATTGAAAATGTGATCCAATAAGCAGTAAGGGAAGACAGGTCCACATGGCAAATTATGGCAAATTATATTATGCACCGCGGTGCATAATCGATTATGCACCGCGCGTCTTTTTTTTTTAAATGAAAATTAACAGTGTTTATTTCCTCCGTTTCGCACCCTTTTACAAAAAGTAACTCTGTTATTCACTGTCATTTTGTATGAACTGCAGTTTCAGTTGAACACAACTACAGTTTCATTTCGATATAACTATAGTTTCATTCGATATTTATAGACTCAAATATGTGAAAATGTTATTTAATTTTATTTTATATACACTATAGTTTCATTAAAACACAACTACATGATCATTTTGATATAATTACAGCTTCATTGTATAATATACACTCAAATATGTGAAATGTTATTCAGTTTCAGTTTATATACACTGCAGTTTCATTTCACTATAACTACAGTATCATTTTGATATAACTGCAGTGTCGGTTTGGATATACTGTAGTGTCAATTGGTGTTTAATACACCAAACAAACGGACTCCGTTAACTCTAACGGCGGGCCGTTTCTTTACTTAAAGAAACGGCGTCGTTTTTGACCGCGGTGCACATGCACCGCGGTCTATAATATAATGACTGGCAAATTATGCTATGCGCACGACGTTAAAACGGCGTCGTTTTCCGTAAAAACGACGCTGTTTTAATTAAAAAAAAAATTGTTCGAAACGCCGTTAACGGCATATTCGTTATGAAATTATGAATATACAGTTATGACATTATGAATGTACAGTTATAGAATTATGAATGTATAGTTATGGAATTATGAACTTACAATTATGAACATAGAGCTTCGAAAATTATGAATGTTCGGTATGGAATTATGAATATACAGTATGGAATTATGAATGTACAGTTATGGAATTATGAATGTACAGTTATGGAATTATGAATGTACAGTTATGGAATTATGAATGTACAGTTATGAAATTATGAACATAGAACTCTGACATTATGAACTTACAATTATGAACATAGAGCTTCGAAAATTATGAATTTACAGTTATTGAATTATGAATGTACAGTTACGGAATTATGAATGTACAGTTATAGAATTATGAATATACAGTTATGGAATTATGAATGTACAGTTATGAAATTATGAACACAAAGCTGTGAATATATGCTCCTATAACGAAGCGGTCTGAAATTAAATTTTTTTTTTTTTTTTAAAAAAAAAAAAGGAGGGAAGATAACGGTGTCTGACGGCACCGTTACCGTGCCCATGATGCACGCTGGGCACGAGCCCACAGCATAACTATTGGGTCCACATAAATGTGGGCCCGAAAAAGAAACAACACTTTTTAAGTGGATCGTTATGCTGTGCATCCGTATGCACCATGCATGGTGCAACCGGATGCAAAAACGACGTCGTTTTGACGTTTAACTTAAAAAAAAATATTCAAAATTGCATAACTACACATCCATAATTTCATAACTATACATCCAGAATTACATAACTACACATCCATAATTTTATAACTATAAATTTAAAATTGCATAACTACACATCCATAACTTCATAACTATACATCCATAATCGCATAACTACACATCCATAACTTCATAACTATAAATCCAGAACTGCATAACTGCACATCCATTACTTCATGACTACACATCCAGAATTGCATAACTATACATCCAGAATTTCATAACTAAAAATCCAGAATTAATGAACTAAAAAATGAATAACATAATGTTGTTGCTGAGAATCGAAACTGATTTTTTTAAGTAGGACGCGCGTTTTGATGCAAAACGACGTTGTTTTTGAATCCATATGCACCATGCATGGTGCATACAGATGCACAACATAATTTTCCTTTTTAAGTTATTCCAATCATCATTGTGTGGACCATGGTCCATACAAGTTGTAAAGTTGTGGGGATGCAAAGGTTTTATTTTTGGTTATTTGGGCATTGTTTGGTCTGGTATGATAGCTTTTGAAAATTTATAGAGTCAAAAGACTCTCTAGTTTTACACAATAAGACAATTAGACTATTAAACTTTTGAAAGGTGCAATTAGACATTCTAACTTGTTAAAATTAGTCAAATAAGTCTAATTTACCGATCTGCTAATCTAGGCGCTCATACTCTCTCATCCACTGCTTTTGCTCAGTCTGGTTCTTTGTACTGGGACTCTGTCTCTCCTGACTCTATTTCTGCTTTGATTCATTAATCTACCATTCTTGGTTGGCTTTCAAAAAGTCTAATTTACCGATAATCAACAAGTTACTGGTATGCAGGACGTTATTGACCGTCATCGCCTGCCGTTGACTGTTTCAAAAAGTTGACTGCGCGCTCGACCGGACTGGTAGCCTTCTCAACAGAGAAGGCGACAATCTGGGTCACCTTCTTCAAAGGCAATTGGTGATCGTCATGGATTGCCGGAGTGTCATCGGAGTTGCCAAAGTCTCATCAAAACTCTAGTGCCTTGTTATTACAAGTCATTAACTAGCTTTGAGGTTTCAATGCACAAAAATAGCATGTCAATGAACTTAATTGTAAATTTCAAAAATTCAAAGGTTTAATTGCTATGAATAAATTTGGAGGGCATATTTGACCCGACTTTTCCTAAACTTATATATCTATCTGATCATATATCTTCAGAAACTGAAAAAACACAGCTATGAATTTGTCACTTTACTATTTTAGATTGTCCATATCCATGAAATTTTTTCACTTTCAAAGTGACATATCATTAAATTTGCAATGAATTACTATTCATTTTTTATCCATGTAATTTCTTTCCTCTTTCAAAAAAATAGTCCCACTTTCATATAATATTATTAAAAATTATTTTTATCAATAAAGTAATACGTAGTAATAGATATTATATAATAATAAAAATACTAATAACAAATTCTAAAAGTGCGTGGCTTGCAATTGCGACACAAGAATTGCAATTGTATTGCAAGTGTTGCAATTTTGCTGTGTCAAAATTGCAACACAACATCATATAAAAAAAATGTCACTTATGATTTGCAATAGGTGCACTTTTAAGCCTGTGGATAGTCTTAGAGCAAAAGGAATTAAAAAATAAAAAAATTAACACAAATGTCATTACACCTTGAAGATGAAATTAAACTAACAAATTAATCCATCAAACCTTAGCTTCAATGAAATGCGATGGATTTCTTTGGTTTCAAGAAAATAGAAAATGTGTCATCCTACTTTGTCTCATCTTGAAGCTGTGACAACAACAATGGCCTAAGAGAAACCGCAACCATTATACGAGAGTGTGCATGGATTAAATCTCACCTTGTGACTCTAGCCAAGAACTACAAGAAGATAAATCAGCCTAGGTTATCGATAGCTGACTCGCTCAAATCAAGAAGGCGGGAGTCAAACTTGTAGGTAAATTCGTGTTATCAAGTCAACAAGCCAATAAGCTGATCAACTTTTCTGGGTTGCCCCAACAATGGCCTCTCTTGAATGCTGTTGAATCTTTTAGCTTAGACTATATACACACATCTATGTCAAAAACTCCCAAAAAAAAAAAAACAAAAAACAAAATAGAGAAGCCATGCCATTATCTTCTTGCAGGCCAGGCTGCAGTTTCTTTCTCTGAATATTGCCATAGCTCCTGCTGTTTTGCTTCTCCATCTGCAATGAAGCCCTTCAATTCATGTCAGATTGTCAGGATTTGTTGTGGATGGGGTCTGAACCTTTTCGAACCCTCCATTCGCTTGCCCGGTTTGGATCGAATGTTCTGTTTGCTGCAGGCTCTTTCTGCTGCTTTTCTGTGTTCTTCAAGCCTGTTAGAGCCTGATTAACTTCCTGCTTTAGCAGACTCCTATGATGCCAACTCTTGAACATCATCATTATCTGCAAACAATCTTCTTGTCTGCAGTCTGATGATCTCACAACTCTGATTGCAGAAGCTTCCTCAACATGATGAACTGCTAATAACAATCCTATATAGATGAAGAGGAGCAGAAAGGCCTTGTTTGTACTGACAACCTGCATTATTGTTTGTTTCTGATCTGTGGGATTCAAGAGGCATAAAAGAAGTGGAAATGATGTTGTTTAATTTCCTGTAGATATATACAAGATTTGAGGTTTATATATATATGTTGTAAGAAGCTAAGGGATGGCCCAGAATCATATCCTTGGATGGGGTTTAAGTCTTTAAGATTGATCCCCCAAACATAAATCTGATGTTTGATGAAAACTAAAGCTGCTGGAGAAGAATCTGAGTGGGATTGAATAAAGGGTTCTTGAAACAACATCCTTGAGAAGCTAAGCATCTTTTGTTTTTTTTTTGGGCTGTTGTTTCCCTACATCTCTCTATCATTTGATGTCCTTTAATTTCCTTTTTAAGGAAGGACCAAATCAGATTTCAGTCATTTTGACTGGCACCCATATGTTGCCACATCACCAAATTAAATTTAAACCATGCTTATGTGTACATTGGGTGCTAAAATAGTAAGAATTGTTTATATTGAGGGTCGAGTTCGAAGAATATCATGTTGCTTGTGTGGATTCGAAGCCTAGCACGATATGAACTTCTTGTTGCTGGTATGGTGTGGATTCTTTAAAGTTATGTCTTCACTGCTAATTATAATTTTAGCCTATTAATTAATAAGCATCCGAGGCTGTCATTCACTTTATCAATGTTAAACTGCATAGTGATAAGCGTTTGACACTGACATTTACTCCGGCTAGCAATTTTAAACAGGGTATGTTAGTTTCACATTTATAAGCTGCTCGATGTTACTACTTACTAGCTAAACCAAGAACTTTTTTACTTCTCACGAGTATTTACGCATTAATAAATTATCATAAACCATTATTCCTTAGTTATTAAGGATT